TAATTCAAATTTAAGTGTTTTTGACGTCTTGGATTATTATATTAATATTAGATGAATTTATTTGATCTAATTTGATATTGTCGATTAATTAATTTGAATTTATTTGGTACAGACATTTGAAATTTTTAAAACAAATGCATTTGAATTTATGTATTTATTTCATTAAATTTTTAATTCATTAATTACATTGGATGTGTCTTGCTTTCGGGTTGATAGAAAGGTACCTGTCACAACCTGAAAATCGGATATATGATTAGTGCAAGGGTTAAAATAAATCCCACCCCGCAAGCCTAATAGAAAATACGAAATTTAACTAAATTGATAATATGATATAAACAAAAGGTAATCCAAACCATACTAACTAAACTATCAACATAAAATACAAAATCCGTCTATAGTCAAATGGAGCATACTAAGATTCTAAGGATATAAAGTCTGACAAAAAACTGAATAACTAACTCTGACAATCCAAAGAAAAACAACTGAGAATACAGACTCATCTTAAATGGTAGGATCCATTGGACCAGTGAACTTAGAATCTGAAAAAAAATAAGGGTGAGTTTACAAATCTAATGAATAATAATATGCATCTATGAGAATAAAAGATATGCATACAGATATAACATGAAATTCACTGAAAATAGAATTTTAAACAAACTTTTTCATAATTTAGGGAGTTCGTAATTAAGAATATAATATATATCAGAAAGAGTATGGTGACACTTAGTCTACCAAAAATCAAGATAGCGACACTCAATCTGTTGATAATTAAGACGACAACATTTTAGCTCACCGATAAAACAAGATGACAACATATTAGTCTGCCGATAATTAGAATAGCAACATATCAGTCTACCAACAATCAAGACGGCAATACACAGTCAGTTAGAATACATGTATACAGGACAAGGTATTTAAGCTAACACCTACTACCATTAATTATAGTGTTCTAAAATTCGAAAATCCCCTAAAACATTTTTTTTTTCTAGAAATATCATAATAGTTTAACACAATCTTTCCATTCACAAGCATAAACAGAATCAAACACATGTACAGATATTTCCTCCAAAATAATTTTAGAAATTACACACATGTCACTTATTATACTTTTTAAACAGAATTTAATCAAATTTCCATAAAAACAAATATATCAGATAAAACCAGAGTTTGTCATAGATATGTAAAACAATAAATGCTCATAAATACATATTATTACTCATAGAAACGACGGAAATTGATAAATTGAATCTCTAACAACACCGGCTCAACAAGTATCGTATGAACAATCTAAATAATAAAATAATAAAAACATCTCAATTTGTCTCTAATGTATTCAAGAATCGTATAAATGAAATTTTCTAATCAAGAAACCAAAAAAAAATTCTAAATTTTCATGCCCAAACCATACTAAGGCCACTAAAGTCCTGAACTAGCCAAATAAGTTATGAACCGATCTCATAAAAACAAAAAACCCAATTTATTTAAACCAAAAACTATTATTTAATGTACTGAACTAGTTATGAATCGGCCACTAGAGGACCGAACTGGCCATTAGAAGGCTAAACCAGCCATGAACTAGCCTATAAATCACTGAACCAATCGTATATCATCTTCTACTTCACTAAATTGGCCCTAAACGGACGAAGAAGCACTGAACCGACATTTTAGATACTGAATCGACTAGGTTTATGCACAAAACCCTCTGAACGGGGCTTAAAACAATGTTATTTTTCCTAAACTGGCCTTAAATTGGCTGGTTCATTCATTAACCTAATTTGTCCTTGAATGGAACTGAACCAGTCACCCCTCCCCTTGAACCAGCTATTTCTTTATTTATTACTATATTTTTGTTTTATTTAATTATTTCTAGTCCACATCTTGAATTTTATTTTTACCTAAACCTATATGTTAACCTAGCCCAAGCCCTTACAGAAACCTAATCCCTAAATAAACTCCTGGCCTAGCCAATTCTAGGCCTGGCCCAAATAAATTGCTCGGCCCTCCGAATCTAGGCCCTTTAGCAGACCTGCACTTTTTCGAATCCTTTCTTTTCAACCTGACTTAACCCCGATTCACAAAGTTTCGAACTTGAGAATTTGTAGAATTTGGTCACTGATTCATGTAGAACCTGGAAAGACGATGATCAGAATGCTGATTCCTCCCCACATGATCAGAGCTATTCTAGCTAAATTTCTAGAGTTTTACTCAGTTGCCATGACGAATAGAAGAGGGAAAATTCTAGAGATTTAAGAGGAGATTTACAAAAATTGATTTGGGGTTTTATTCCTCCTTCACCGTCGTGCATATATGTTTAAAAATTTTGAAATGATTCTACTTAATTTGATCAAATTTTGATCAACCATGATCGTGGGATCTGTATGGATTTACCAGATCTTGAATTTTCAGATCTCTTCCAAATTAGTCCTAGTTTCCTAATTTTGCTCGATCTAGTCCCTAACTATTCTAATTAATTCAATCAAGTCCCCTAAATATTTGAATTCTAAAAATACCCCATAATTTTGGGGCATTATAATTTTTCCTCTTTAAAATAAATTCGGTCCCCGAATTTAAAAATACAAGAATGATAGCTAATCTTGTGTCTCGAACAGGTGGGGATGTCTAGTACACATTGTTTCCTCCGATTCCCATATCACTTTATCCTTCGTGTGATGTTTACACAACACTTTTACAAATGCTATTTGCTTGGATCTCAGTTTCTTAGTTTGTCGATCGACGAAAGTCACAGTTTGTTCTTCATAAGATAAGTCTAACCCTAATTGTATCTCCTGTGGTGCCAATCCGTGAGAGGAATCTGGAAAATACTTCCGTAGCATAGACACATAGAACACAGGGTGCACCATGGAGAACTCAGGTGGAAGAGCCAGCCAATAAGCTACTGCACTGACACGATCCAGAATCTCAAAGGGTCAATATAATGCGGACTAAGTTTTTCTTTCTTCCTGAAATGCATAACACCCTTCATTAGGGAGATCCGTAGAAACACATGCTCCCCAACATTGAACTCCAACTCTTGTCAACGCTGATCTGCATCGACCTTCTACCTACTCTAAACGGAGAGCAATCTCTATCGAATCAACTGAACTTTATCTATAGCATCCTGTACTAAGTTTGGCCCCAAAAGTTTAGCTTCCTAACCTCAGACCATCCAATCAGGGATTTGCACTGTCGACCATATAACGCCTTGAAGGGTGCCATTTGAATACTCAATTGGTAACTATTATTATAAGCAAACTCTATCAGTGACAAATACTAACTCCAGTTACCACCAAAATCCAAGACACATGCTCATAACATATTCTCTAGAATATGAATAATCCTCTCAAACTCCCGTTAGTCTAAGGATGGAAAGCCATACTGAGATCCAATCAAGTGCCCAAAGCTCGTGAAGGGCTCTCCAAAAATTAGAAGTGAACCGAGATTCTTGTTTTGAAATGATAGAAATTGGTATCCCATGAAGTCTCACTATCTCATCTATGTACAACTGTGCATATTGGGAGATATCGTAAGTACTCTTCACAAGAAAATTATGCTAACTTGTTCAATCAATCCACTATTACCCAAACAGAATCAAATCTCCTTAGTGTTCGTGCAAACTCGTAACGAAATCCATAGTAATTCTTTCCCATTTCCATTCTAGTATCTCAATTTATTGAAGTAGTCTTTATGCTTTTGATGCTTAGCTTTTAACTAGCTAATAGGTCAAACATCAATGAAACCTGCTATGTCCCACTTCATGCTTTTCGACCAATATAAATGCTTCAAATCCTAATATATTTCCGTCCAAATCTGGCCCTCCTACTTGATTTCCTTTCAATCAAGTCCTTCCACATTTCTGATTTGGCCCCCGTTCTTTTATTCCATTCAATTACTTCTCTGCCCTTTTTATTTTAAACCCCAACTTCCTTGATTCTCTAATTGACCCCCCAGAACCTCTGATTTCTTCAATTAACTCCCTTCCTAATTTTATTTTTGACCCTGAATCTTTTAATGCAAACAATTAAGTCCCTCATCCCATCAATTAATTAATTTCCCCTAATAATCTTAATTAAGGTCATTACAATAGAATATAAAATTTTATAGTTTTTACTTTTTTAATATATTATAATATATTAAAAGTAATTTTTTTAATTTTTAAATTCTTTCTAGTAAGAAGTATTTTTGTCTTTAAAGGATTTTTTATTTTATTTCCTATTTCTATTCAAGTATATTAAATATAATGATAGAATAAAAATTTTCATTTTATTTGTGTACTATACATATTCATACTCATAGAAATCTTTATTCTATTTTTTTCATTTCCATCCTCATTCTCATTCTGTTGTACTGTACATTATCTAAGTTCAAATAAAATAAAAGTTTGAGTGTAAAATTTATAAAATGTTAAAAATGCACAAAAAGTTGATCATAAGATGTATGTTTTTTTTAAATAAATAAAAAATATTAGTTGAAACAAGCATCGTCGGTAAGCACTTGCAGTAAGTGTAGAAAAGTAGCTTGCATTCATGCTAAAGAGCTACCACAGAGAGTCCATCACCGACGCCGCGGCACGGCGGATAATTTGGTTAATTAAGAAATTATAAATATCAACTTTTTGATATTAATTTTTTTTAATTTGAGGCATTTTTGTGATTGTATAAAATGTTAATTATTTTTAAAAGTTTGATCCACAATTTTTTTTATTTTTAAATAGGAGATATTATAATCATTTGTTATAACAAATTAAAACTTAATTATTTTTAGCAAAAGATATGTGTCTATACACACACACACACACACACAAACTCAGTATCGATTCCATTTCATTCGACTTCGTATTGTTGGCTTCGCGCACGTTCTCTCTCCACTCCAGTCCTTTCCCTTCTGTGGAAGATAGCACATATGAGCAAGGTGGGGCTCCTAGACGGCAGCTTCAAGGACTTCGACCACGGAGGAAGCCGACGTTCGCGTCTCCTCTTCATTCGTGATGAAATCGCCGAGTCATGGAGTGGCCTGCAAGTTTATGGTCGGAAGCTGCTGGAGATGGGCCGTTCCGACCCCGGAAAGTCATCTTCGCCGTCAAGATGGGCCTGGCTCTTGCCATCATCTCCCTCCTCCTCTTCTGGGAGGAGCGTCAGTTCTTCGATCTCACTCAGTACTCCATCTGGGCTATCCTCACAGTCGTCGTCATGTTCGAGTTCAGCATTGGTACCAGTTTAGCACATTCGTATAAGAAATTATCACCGACATCTTAGTTAAAGGGGTGAGCTTTTGTTTTAAATGAATAGGTAAAGTCAGAAACTGAAAAACACTTTATTACACAGGAGCAACTCTGATTAAAGGATTCAATCGCGGACTGGGGACATTGTTCGCCGGAGCAATAGCCTTCGGCTTTGCCAATCTGGCTATGTTGGCCGGCCGGGGGGAGAAAATCGTGATCATCATCAGCATCTTCATAACAGGTTTAGTTTCTTTTAGAGAGAGATATTTTACTTCAATTCCATATTTCAAATCCATATTTAATTCCCTTATGGCGTTGCAGGGGCTTGTGCAGCGTATCTTAAGCTTTACCCAACAATGACGCCATATGAATACGGGTTCGGGTATTTGTCCTTACTTACTGTATCCTCATGGTCGCGGGTAATCGGAGCAGGGAGTATACTGAGGCAATCGTGAACCGGCTTGTGCTTATAGCATCGGCGCCGGCGTTTGCTTCATTGTCAATACCTGTATTTATCCCATCTGGGCGGGGGATGACCTGCACCGACTTGTAGTGATGAATTTTCGGGATGTTGCTACTTCCTTGGAAGGTAATTCTTGCCTTTTCTTTTCAGTTTTTCTTTCGGTGAGACTTGAATTCAAGTTTTGTTGGACATTTATTCTAATTTCTGTTTTCTGGTATTATATTTTTGTATTTTTACAAAATAGAAAAGAATTGAAACTGTTAATATCTTCATATTTTTTCATTTCTGATTATCTCGAAAACGTCTCATTACTTTCTAAAACTAAGATTGCAACCTAAAAAGTACTCACAGAAATAGATTTTTGAAAGGAATTTGGTTAATGAGTTTTTGTTTTCAAAAGCAGAAAACAATTTTCATGAACAAATCCTGTTACCTAGCAGCTAACAATTGAGAGAGTTCGTTAATGTTTTATGTAGGATGTGTTAAGGAGTACATAGATTGCCTTGAATACAAGAGATGCTCCTCGAAAATACTCACTTATCAGGCATACGACGATCCGTTGTACACCAGGTACAGATCAGTAGTCGAATCAGCAAGCAGAGAGCAGAATTTGGTATGTCATTCTCTTTCCGCTTCTCGAAAGTGTTGTAAACATTGTGGATTATATATTCAAACAAAAAGTGCCAAGCAGATTTTCTACCATGTATGCTAATCCCGCTTTGGAAATTTGGTACTTGCAGTGCCTAGATGTACTATTATTGCTAAATGTATTTTTCTAAACATTTATTTGTAGGATTCACCGTTTGAGAAATAGTTAAAAGAATATTGAAAGTATAGAAATTGAAAATATTTGTAATTTTGATAAATAGTTAAAAAAATTGATAAATAAATGTTTGATCAAATAGTTGTAATAATTATTTATTACGTTAAAGTGTCTAAATTACCTATTTATTTAAGAATGGATAAAACTATGCGGTGAGTAAATTGAGCAAGGATGAACTCAAAATTTAACCAAAATGTTATAATACTTGTGAGATTTTCTGAGTATTTCACTCTCCTCTCCTCTGACTTAAACATCTGACTATGTTAAACTTTTAAAGCACGCAAGAAAAAGGATAAATTGGGAGTTGATTGATTGGTTTCTGATTATTTTTGATTAAAATTTAGATAAAATAATTTAGAAACAAAAATCTGAAACAAATAAATCACTTTTTTCCTAAAAATTAAAAAATAATAAAAATCAGTTCTCGAGTGTGGACATTATGTTCTCCCAAGCAATGAAAGTATTTGAAACCTCTCAATTCCCCTGACTACGTTAAACCTTTAAAGTACATAAAAAAAGGGTAAATTGGGAGTTGGGTGATTCCGATTCTGATTATTTTTTTAATTAAAATTTAGATTAAAGTAACTCAAAAGTAAAAATTAAAAACAAATAAAATCATTATTTTTAACCTAAAAATGGAAAATTAATGAAAATAAGTTCTCACATGTAGACGTTATATTCCCCTAAGAAATGAAAGTACGTGAAACCTCTCAATTTGGGCCTGTTTAAATTCTTTTTCCCGTTATTTTGCAGTTGGGTTTCGCTATCTGGGAACCGCCTCACGGCCGATACAGAATGTTCAATTATCCATGGAGGAACTATGTCAAGGTCAGCGGGGCACTGAGGCACTGTGTTTTCATGGTGATGGCCCTCCATGGATGCGTCCTATCAGAAATCCAGGTCGATTTCTCTCTGCTCTTCTTATCTAAAAACTTCATAATAGGAGAATATTATAAATTTTAACCAACAAAGTATTTAGTGCGGTTAATCAATATCTATAAAATATTAATTAAAATAATTACTTATGAAAATTACAACATTTTTCAATAAAATTAAAGAAGTAAGTTTAGATATTCAAAATTATTAAAACTGAGGATTTGTGCACAAATATTTTAGAATTTTGTGGACTAATTACTTGATAATTTCTTTTATATGCTTTATATTGTATAATTTCTTTTATATCTGTTACCATTTTCTTGAGATCATTTCGTCCTATTTTTTTAAATTCTTTTCATAAATATACATAAAATCAAAAAGTGTCAATGAGTAGCTGCAAGTGCCTTTTAATGTATCTCAAAGGTTGACAATTCAACGTTTATTTAGTAAACTAAATAAGAATGGGTAAAAATAAATTATTTATACTTATTTGATTGAATAAATTATATGAGAGAAAGGATAAAATTATTTATTCAATATATATCTAGTTTTTTAGATATAATATTAACCTTACTATTTGTAGGTCATTGGGAAGTCATTATTTAATGAAAAATAAATTAAGAAAAATGAGTTAAAAAATTAAATTTTTAGAAAATTGAGTTCAAGAATAAAAAGTAAATTTTATTATTTGATTATACAAACTGATAGAAGTAAACTATAAATATCTTAATATCTAATTACTTTTGACTTTGTTTAATAATTCTTTCAATCAGTTTTAACAAATTTTTATTTTTACTTTCTGATATTAATTAAATGTTACCCACTTTCCAAACAAAGTAACGGTAGGCGGGCGAAGCCTAAGTGGGTAACAATGGCTTAACCAACAGGCCATTGGTGTCAAATTGGTGTTTATTTTATTTTTTCCCTTGTTTGTCACAGTGAAACTCTTGTTGAGGTTGGTGTTAGTATTAATGAGTCACGGTCCGTATTGACACCAGGCACCCACAGAACACAGGCAGATATTCCGGAGCGAGCTGCAGAAGGTCGGCTCAGAAGGCGCCAGAGTCCTGCGGAAGCTCGGAGACAAAGTGGAGAAAATGGAGAGACTAGTGACCACAGGGACCTACTCAAAGAGGTTCACAAGGCAGCAGAACAGCTGCAGAAAAAGATAGACAAGAAATCGTACCTCCTGGTCAACGCTGCAAGCTGGGAAATCGGCCCGAAAGAGCCTGAAGGATCTGAGAAGCTTCGCAACAGAGACGACAAGGACGAAGCAGGACAAAACCATCCATCGCCAAGCGAAAAATTACAAGGGCCTTCACATTTGAGCGCGACCGTGCTAGAATCGACGTCGTTTCCCTTGGGGCCCCAGCATGAGCTGGCAAAGAGCGCGTCGGAGCGGGTGTTGAGGGAGAGGGAAGCTTCGTGGCCGTTTCGGCGGCTGCCGTCCGCGGCGGACTGCAGCGGGGCAGAGAGAGCGGGCGAGAGCGCGACCGCTCTGTCGCTGGCGACGTTTGTGTCGCTTTTGATGGAGTTCGTGGCGAGGCTTCAGAACGTGGTTGACGCCTTCGTAGAGCTGAGCGAAAAAGCCGCCTTCAAGGAGCCCGAGACTGAATTTGCTGGGGTAGGAGAGGACGGAGCTTAGGGATTTGGAATACGCTTTTACGTTCCTCAGGTTCAGAACTGAGATTTTGTTTTTATTAAAACAGATAATTAAGGTAAAAATATGGTATTATTACTTGTCACATGTTTAAATCTTAGTGCAAATGATTGATGCTATTTATCTATTGGAGATTAAATCCCACATATTTTCCACTCCGACATGGATTTCTAGGTCACTTCTCTGGTTAAATTCAATTGGGTTCATGTTCTCGACTACATATATAAGTTATAATTTATTTAGCCATGCATCCAGCACATAACTAGTATTGAGAGTGAATCACCAATCCCAGTAGATCTTAGATAAAATAAAATATTGTAATTTAAACAAATCTAATATAACATCTTAAATATATACAAACAAAAGTATTCTATTTAAGAAGCAAAATTGAGTAATTCTAAAATACAAATACATAAAACAACATCATCTATACTCAAGATTAAACTCGTGAGAACAACCTCGCACATGCTAGTGATATGTATAGGAAGGCAAACCAATGCTACAATGTAAAAAATGTTGAAAAATAAGTGAGTATAAAATTCAGTGAATGATAATACAAATTCTATCACGCTAGGACATGCATGGTAAAATGTGCTGAAATCATATATATATAATTTAAATAGTGGGCAGCTAAGTATATCATTAGAAATCATAATATTGTTTCGTAATACACAAAATCAATTAAGAGTACCAAAATTAAGTATTATTTCAACGGTAGAGTATATCGTGCTGGAGGTATCACATATCAGAACTAAATATAATTTCAACGATAGAGCATATCGTGTTAGAGATATCACATAACATATATCGGTATCAAGACCTGTACTAAACCAGAACTAGAATATACACAGAGCACATAAGGTCAGAGCACAATCATGTTCATTCAAAACTCATATAATTAAAATCAAAATAACTCCTAACATATGATTTTCAGAAAATACATATAATATAGGCATATTTCAAATATTTTCCAAACTAATAATATTTACATATTTATTTCAATCCCGAAGCAAAGTATGCCATGTTTCAAATCAGTTTACTGCATTTCAAAATAATTTAAGAATATATGTCTCAGATTTTATTATTCAGATCAATAAATCACATCATAATAAAATAACTTATTCATATTGTAAAACTCATTTTCATAATAAATAACATACTAACATTTTAAACGCAAACATATAATAAATATTATCACTCACAGTACAAGTTAGAGCTAAAGATCAAAATTTCCAGATAACAAGCTCAAAGGTCATAGCGTGCCTCCTTAGGCATATCTATAACTACAATGATTTAATATTAGAACTAGAACCGGACCTTAAACCATTTGAGGACTCAATTACCAAAACCGGTCCTTAACTTCAATTCAGAACCTTAGCACATAACTTAAGGTCCATTATCTAACATCAAAATTTAAAACAAACCAAACACATAAACTAATTTCGCTTAAAAACCCTTTAACTAAAGTAAACCAATCTTAAATCCCCAGAACCGGCCTGAATCGGCCTCAAGTATCACTAAATAAGCCTAAAATCAACCTCAAATATCTCTGAACTAGACTGAACCAGCCATAAACACCCCTAAAGTGGATTGAACCGGCCATAAACACTCCTAAATTGACTTGAACCAGTCACAATTATTTTAGAATTCGCCATAAAATCCCTAAAACATATAGAAAACCACAAGAACCAGCTTGAAACTAAACTAGGGCCCCATAAACTGGACCAAACTTATTCAAGATCGGATTGAACCGAATAAAATTGAACCCAACCTACACATAACTAGGTTAACTGGCTTGAAAATTTCAAAATCGGTTGAAATTTTCATAAATCAAATAGGATTCCCCTAAAATACCCTAACCTGGTCTAACTAGGTCAAGCCAACTAAGTTGGTTGAGCAGTTGAATCGGTTAACATGATTAGATAGACCTGAAATCAGTTTGGGTATGTCTTCTTTACCCGATGACTTGACACAAACCAGAAATCTTACCGGAAGCTTGAACTCCCTTAAACATGAAATTAACCCCCTTTTCTTATCTTTTTGCACCAATTAATTGTTGTCCTAAAAGGCAACCCAAGAGGGGGGTGAATTGGATTTTTATCGCGGAAGTTAAGTGTGTGAAAAAATTAAAAATAATAAAAATATTGAATCAAATAAACTAATACAATTCACCAATAATAAATATAAAACAATTTTAAGTAAAGTAAAGAGAGTAGGGATAAGAGATGCAAACTTTTTTATAGTAGTTCGACTTACTATCCAAGTCTACGTCTACTCTCTGGAGTTTCAACTAACCCAAGTTCCACTAAGTCTCTTGCACTTGGCGGAGGCAAGAAATCCCGATTGCAAAGCCTTTGATTCGGTTAGCTTTAAACACCAATACAAATTGTAATAAAGATGGAGTGGAAATGTAGCAATTCCTCTTAAGTAGCATTAGCTACCACTCATATACAAAAATGATCTCACTTCAAAGAGGCACTCTCAAGAATAAAACAATTTTCTCTATGCACTCTTTGATCTAGTAATAAACAATATAGCACAAAGAATTGGAGAGAAATTGAAGATGCTTTGAGAGCTTGTTGTTGTGTATTTCTCCCTTCAATCTATGCTCCTTTTATAGGCAAAAACACCAAGGAGACGTTGGCATTTGTGGAAGAAAAATCATTTCTCAACAGTAACTGCACATTGGCTCATTTCAAAAATTCAAATAAAATGGTTCCGAATGTTCAAATATTCTTAAAAAATTCTTGGATACTCCTGAGTGAGTTTGCTTTCAAATGCAAAAAGAATCATTAAATTATAGTGCGCTGTTTGAGAGCAATGATCAAAAGTTAATCAATATGTCAGACTGTAAAATTGCTTTTGTCAAAAGTTGTTGGCCAAATTCAAAATTGTCTAGAAATTCGAATTTGTATTCAAAAATAACAAATTATATATTTTTGAAAAGCTTATAACATCTAATTTCATTCAAAATTGGATTCGTACAAATTTGATTTTTATATTTTGAGATATGATAAAAATATTGTACTATACTCATTTTGTCTGCTGAAAGTGCAACTCAGCAGAAATGCCTATTTTGAAAAATTATATCTGACAATCTATAAGTGTAAAATGTGCATATAATATATACATTTAAATCTCAGTATGTCTACTTTACAAATAAAATTAATTCAGAATTTTATTTATACTATAAGTTATATTTCACTAATTAAAACAACTATCGTACAGATTTCAAAAATGACTTTTTTTAGAAAATAATATATGAGATTGATATAATAAACTGCTTTAATACAAAATAATATATATGATGAATTATATATCAAAATAAAGATATTTGAGTGTAGTTTCATATAAAATTGACTTTATTATTTTTTTGACTTTTCTATAGTAAGATATAATTAATTTATTATACATATATCTAATTTGACAACTTCACAAACTAGTACATGTAATGTATGTAGTTAAATAATAAATTAATATTATAAATTGTCCATATTATTCATTACATAAATATATATAATAATTTTAATTTGTTTTGTCATTATCAAAATAAATATGAAATCTTGAGACTAACATTAATTGCCCAAAACTAAAGATCTCAAGGAAATGAGGTGTTTGGTAAGTAGAATTAGATTGATTCTTGATACAAAGCAATGGCATTCTGGCAAGCAAAAATCTTGGGGGTCGTGAAACTTTCAAAGAAATTAATGGAAAAAGGAAGGTTAGAATTTAAAATTATTCACAAATTTTCTTTCTAAACCTTTATATGCATATATATACATACATATATAATCTATGGCGGTTAAAATTTTAGATTCTTTGCAAATTGGTTGGTTTTCTTCAATTGGCAGCCAACTGAATTTTTCTGGGTTCATTCACTTTGGTCCCCCAATTCTTAGTTTCTTTCATTCAGACCTTTAGCTTCTTTGATTCTAACCTCCAGTTTTTAGCACCTTACACTCTAGCACTCCAACTTTTATTCTTTCCAATTTAGTCCTTGGCTGTATAAATTTCAGCCCCGAACTTCTTGATGTCTCACTTAAACCCCTCGAATTTCTTAATTCTCTCACTAACACCCTCCAACATTTCTAGTCAAGCCCTGATACATTGCGATTAAATCTTTACAAACAATACTAATAACTTTCCAACTAATTATCAAAATTAAGGTTATTACATTCTTCCTTCCTTACAAAAATTTGGTCTTGAATTTTTAAAACAAGTAATTACATCATACACTAAATAGGTGGGGATATCTTCTATGCATAATCTCCCCAAACTCCATGTTGCCTCTTCTAAGAGTTGATTCATCAATAATACTTTTATAGATGCCACGTCTTTGGATCGTAGCTTATTACTTGTCTATCCAAAACAGCCACATGTTCCTTCTCATATGACAAATCCCCCTCCAATTGAACATTCTGCAGTGCTATCACATGCGACAAGTCAAACAAGTACTTTCTTAGTATAAAAATATGAAATATCAGCACCTATAATTCAAAAGGATGAGCTAATTGATAAGCCATGGCTCCTACTCGCTCCAATATCTCAAAATGGCTGATATAACAAGGATTAAATTTACCTTTCTTCCAAATCTGACAACATCCTTATTTGGGAAAACTTTTAGAAACGTGTGATCTTTGATAGCAAACTCCACTTTATGACATCAGTGGTCCACATATGGCTCTTTCTTACTTTGAATAGTTAAAGTTTGTCTTTAATTACCTGAGCCTTATTCACCACGTCCTAAACTAAATGTAGATCCACAAGCTTTGTCTCTCAAGTCTCGAACTAACCAATCAGAGATCTGCATTGTTTGCCATATAGGATCTTGTCATGCCCCAACTCAAAAGCGTGACCGGCACCAGGGTTGGTATACCAACCCTAGTAAGCCTCCAACCAAAATGGATCGACAAAGTATCCCTTAAAAAAAATAGTCAGTATATATAACAAACCACATCTGAGCTATACATGGAGTTTCTAGAGTA